ATGATCCTGTCTATGAAATGTTTGTCGGTAAAATAATTGTCGGTAAAATGGTTGTCGGTGAAATGAATGCGACCCATATACAATCGATGTTAGCATATAAAAAGGATGGACATATTACATTCGTTACATAATGAGGCGCAGCAAATGAACAAAAAACCAAATAAAATTTATTTTTTTCATGACTTCGTGGCCTAATAAAGTGACCCGGTGACCATGGTGACCAGTGACCTAAGTCATGTTTACCCGGTGAACAAAGGTCATTTCAAAAAAGTAAAGTGACCAAGGCCATTTTCCAACACTGGCTCTCGTAATGATGATATAAACAGAGATTACAAAAAAGAGCGAAATTAACAAAATTTATAAAAGGATACTTGTATTGAGAAAACAGATATTCCTGGTAAATTGTCAGTTTGCCTTTATTTTTTGATAATTGAATACATTCTTTTTAAAAGTAAGTAATTAATTCAAAAAAAAATATATAATAGCAAGCTAAATTTTTATTATAACATGAAACGGTAAAATCTTTGAAATAAATAAAAAGTCTTTTGTTTAAAACTACAAAGTAATATTATGCTTCTCACAATACTTAATAGCTTCCTTATGCTGGTTATATGCAGCTAATCTCATATATTTATTGCCTAATGCTTCATTTTTTATATCAACATTATCAGTGAAATATAAAGTAGCAGCATTAAACATACCAACAGCTTGGCCATTGTCTGCGGATTTAGTGAAATATTCAGTAGCTTCTTTTAGATTCTTTTTAACTCCTGTACCATTATATAAACAAGAAGCATAGCGTAATTGAGCTTCGGGATAGCCCGCATCTGCCGTTTCTTTATATAATTTTGCTACTAATTCGTCTTTTGCTTTTTGATCCATATCAAGTTTAACATAATTTTGTTGAATATAATATGCCTTATAGTATTTTGCTTTTATATCGTTTAATTCTGCATATGCTTCAAAACATTTGTAAGATAACTCGCGATTTTCTCTATTTCTCACTGCTTCATCTACTGTCATATAATCAAACGCAGCAACATCCATAATATCTCCATTATCATCTGAGGTAGTTTCAACAATATTTGGCAGAGGGATTGGTGATGGATCTTCAACAATTCTTGGCGAAAGTTTTGGTGATGCTATTGGTGATGGATGTTCAACTTTTTGATAAAGATCTTGTAATATGGTAAAGATCTTTGAAAATTGAGGTCTAAAATTATGATCAGGATGAACAGCTAAGATAGATTTATAATAATAAATTTAGTATAAAGGCCACATAGATTTGTGTATGAAAAATATATATATATATAGTATTTTAATACCTTTTTTTGCAAGCTCTTGATATTCCTTTGGTAATTGAGAACCGAGAGAAAATGGTTCACGATATTTATTTTTGCAAACTAGGTCGGTAATTTTAATGATATCATTACCGAATTTCTCATAAGGAATTTTCTTTTCGGCAATTTCCCAAAGCAGTATACCAAAACTATAAACTTCACATTTGGTGTCATATTTATATAACGATCCTTTTTCCAACTTTTCAGGAGCGCTATACCGTACAGCATCTAGTGTGGCAGCTTGATTTGTTGTGCCATCAGTAATTGCTCGACTTGCTTGAAAATTTGCGATCTTGGCCAAATACCGATCGGTGATTAAGATATTCTCGGCTCTAATATCACGATGAACGATCTGTTATTATCCCACCAGACAACAAATGATTTCTAGGAATTAGTAATTTATTTTGAGATAGATGAAATTTTTTATTTTTTAAAAAAAAATTACCTTAACAGCGCTCAAAAAATTTAAGCCCTTGGAAATGTCAAGAGCAAAACTTAACTTCCGATTATCATCAAGTTCATATTCTTGATAATATTCACGTAAATTGCCATACTGGGCCCATCCAGTCACCAAATAAAACTTATCACCATTTTCAGTTAAACCAAAGTATTGAAGAATACAGTCACATTGTTTCAATTTTTCTAAAATTATAACTTCCTTTTTAATTCTTTCCTTATCTTCTTTTTTGCTATTGCTATCGGCAACCAACTTTAATGCAACATAATCATTCAATCCATCCTTTCTATTCTTACATTTTCTAACCTTTGTCGGATTATCATCTTTAATTTTAATTTCTCCTTCTTCAAAATAATTATAATCGAGTAAATTACTTTTAAATATATCAGTATTTACTGAATTAGTATTATCGTTCATCTTTTTATTAAGTACGCTCAATAGAACGACTTCTTCAGAAACGTTGTTATTCTCGTCAGTAACACCACTTCCGATATTTGTAAGATACTACATGATGTTGTGAATAAGGTTACTTATAATCAATACATAATAATAAATTGATGCATCACACACGTTACCTCAAGCAAATCTTTAATATCATTTAGAATAGTTGTATGATCATTAGCTGCTTTATCTGCACTGATATTAAAATCGACCGCCAGAGAAAAGTGCAATGCTTGTAATTTTGAATCAAATTCATCACTTAATTCTTTAACGCTTGCTTCAATGTTTTTAGCTAGAATATACTTGTATAAACCTGTCAATTGAGAAATTTCTGCAACAAATTTCTTAATATCAACGATAACGTTAACCAATTTTCGTAAATGCATAAGATTATCTTTTGAAAAAAAATTTTCGTTTTCATCTCTACGATTTTTTAAATTTCTTACGGCAGTATCAGCTATTTGAACTCTATCCAAAAATATCCCACATATTTTTTTATTATGTTCAGCTGTTTGATATATTTTTACTATCTCGTTAAACACTTGAGTTACTTCCGTTATAAGTGGTAAAAAACTACCAAAACCTGCTGCAATTGGTACTATTACATTTCCTAATGTATCAACTGTACTGAAGACTATATCCGCCTTACTGATCATTGGTTTAGATGACTTTTCTATAAGATATTATTCATTTTATTATGTTTAATAAAAAAAGTTATTAAAGCTTAATTTGCCTTTGAATCAATAAATAAAGTAATGCTACTTTACCACTCGGTTTTGGGGTATCTAAATAAAACTCTAAATTAATTTTTTATTTATTTTTTTTTAAGAAAACTTTTTGAAATAAATTATTTTAAATGGGAAAATCTATATAAATTAACTTACCATCGGGAATTTCCAAAACTGGCGTAATAACTTTTTGAGAAAAGAAATTATAAATGATTATTAAAAATTTATAGTTTGATGGGCGATAAATTTATAAAATGTCTTTTACCTTTTGATGGAGGTTTCTCGGGATCTGGGGATAATTTTTGTTTTTTAAGAAAAGATGTTATTTGAAATTCTTATGATGATTTTTGATAGGACTTAAATGTATGAAATATCCTTTTACCATTTGGATTATTTGGAATAGACGTAGGTTTAGGATCTGATGCTATTTTTTTTTTTTTAAAAGAAAAATTAATATTAAGAATTTTTGAATGGGATAAATGAATAAATAAATTACCCATTTACCAGTTTCTGTGTTCGTAATAGGTAGTTTCTCAGAATCTAAATAATTTAAATAATTTTAGGATTTTTTGAAATTTTTATTTAGAAACATGATCATAGTTTATGGTCAAACGTCATATTTTACCATCATTTGGTGGTGTATGTGTAGGCGACTCGGGTTCAACATCTGGCGCAAATTTATTATTTTAAGAAAACATTTTTTAGAATATTCTTAATTATCCTTGGGTAGATACGCTAAGCACATGCTTACCTTCAATTTTGCAGCAGCAAAATAATTTTTTAATTCCCATTGTCTATAAAATATAGGAAGAAAATTAAAAAAAGTATTCTAAAAGAAAAGAAAAGGTGTTTGTAAAATTTAGGTAGATAATTAAAAAAAATATTCTAAAAAAAAGGTGATTTTAAAATTTAGGAAGAAATTTCAAAAAACTTTTTTTTTTAAAAAAATGGTGCTTTTAAATTTAAATTTCGTTGCGCTGTACTGTACTTTTCTTCCTTTCATTGATTCATGTCATACAACACGTTTATTTTGATGGACAAATTTGGGGAATGTCAATGAAAATGAAAAAAAATTAACACAACAAAACAAAATTTTGTGCGACATGAATTACACAACACAATTAGGAAGGTGACTGCAGGTGTCGTTGTACATACATTATGATTATTTTATTTATTTTAATGGCAAACAACAACACATATGAACAAATTACTTTTCAAGAAATTATAGATAAAAAATAATAGTACTCTTCGACGTTACATTTTATGGTTTGCCGCCATAAATTTTGTCGGAATTTGATTATTAACAATAGTGCCCTAATTCAAAAAACCGTTCGGTTCATGGTCACGTTTTTTGCTTGACCCGAGTTGACCCTGGTGAACCGGATGATCAGGCGATCTAACTATATCGATATAAATAGACTTTTTGTTTTACTTTAATTTGCAACAAATAAATAATGAGTAAACCTATCAACTTTACCGATAATACAACTTCTAGAAAACGAAAAGCATTTCGGAATGCACAATTACGTG